GCATCTTAATCACACCGTAAGAAGTAGAACAGAAATACTGTCATCTTACTAATTCACCAAGCAAAGCTACCCATTCAACAACTCACAATTATATATTATAAACAGCAACTTCTCTACACCGTTATCCGTGACAACACACTAGATGGCCCCGTAGTGCGAGGAGATGTATAGTGACCGGCAATAAAATTCTTGTCTTAAGCTTAAGAGCTAACTGATAAATTGGGAGTTCAACCTTAACAGCACCTTTTGCGTAAAAATGCTAAACGCCCAGGCCAGATGTCGCCTGGGTTCGGGTATAGGCATCCAGGTCAGAGGTCGCTTGGGTTCGGGTATAGGCATTCCTAATTTTGAACTACTGAAAAGTGGGAAGGCAAACAGTTAATAGCACCCACCTCCACAAGGGCTATATCCGGTTTTGAACTGAAGATCAGAATTGACTAAAACTGATATAACAAACATATAAGCTGAAGATGCAGTGTTCAGGGGCATCGCAGATCGAACTCTGGACCTTTAGGACCGCAACCCTGTACACCAACCATTAGGTCACGACCGACTTTGAATAACAAGAACATCCTACTCAATGGCCATTCTCAGCCAACCCCCCCTCTCCTCCGAAAAAAAAAAAGGAGAGAGAAAATGTCAATGTTTATTTGCGAAGGATAATCCGATTGTATTTAGTAACAACGATGCACTTTTACAATTAATAAGCTCTTACCAAAGACAAGGACATGAGGAAAAACAACGATTATCGTCATTATAATTGCAATATATCAATCGGAAGTGTGTATGAAGCATAGTTGTTTAAATATCCAACCTAAGCCTAATTGCGTAATATTACCCTACTTATTATGGCCTCGTAAGGCTTTAACTATGATACTTGATTAAAAGTTGGATATTTACTTTAATTTGTGTTTTCACCGACCTAACGTTATTAGTCCAGTTAATTAAAGTTAGCCAAGGATAAGAAATAGGAACTTAAGGATAATTTTAGCCAGATTGTTTGTTTTGAATTTCGCGCAAAGCTACACGAGAACTATCTGCGCTAGCTGTCTCTAATTTAGCAGTGAAAGGCTAGAGGGAAGGAAGCTAGTCATTACCACCCACCACCAACTCTTGGGCTACTCTTTTGCCAACGAATAGTGGGATTGACCATCACATTATAACTTATAACGCCCCACAGGTGAAAGGGGCGAACATGTATGGCGGGACGGGGAGTCGAACCAGCGACCCTCAAATTGCGAGTCAAGCGCTCTAACTACGTGGCCATGCTAGCCAGAGAAAATAATATGTTTCACAATGAATGACGCTCTTCTAATCGTATTAACGTTATCTTTTCTATGGTTAAAAACTCACACAAGAATGACAACATGTATAAAATATAACAAGGTATATTTCCAGTAAAATATCTTCTTACAAACCTGATACACTATAAAGAGAAAAACAAACATAGGCTGTGCCTATGTATCATCCTATATGTATCCTTTGTGTACAAGTTGTGGTTTTACTGAAAGTGTGAGCCAACATGAGTTTATTGGGCGAGGGTTTACACTTCACGGAAAAATCAAAACGTTTCTAAGGTCATAACTCTTTGATTATTTTATTTTGATACTTTCATCGGCGATACGAAAGAGACCAGGACGTACTTTTACTGTGGAGTACGTCACAGGGAGGAGGAAGAAAAACTCATTTACATTTGTACCGTACTGTACCGTACTCTAAAGAGCAATGGACGGTAACAATGAAGTAATTAGTACGTGTTATGAACAATGAAGTAATTAGTACGTGTTATGAACAATGAAGTAATTAGTACGTGTTATGAACAATGAAGTAATTAGTACGTGTTATGAACAATGAAGTAATTAGTACGTGTTATGACGGTACACTTCAATTATGATCCATGATAGACCTTCTTAATATTTACAAAAACTGCACCATTCTTCAGATATTTCATAATCTCAAATTAAATATAAATGCGGCTATAAAAACCAGTTCTTATTTTACTGAATGGACAGTTCACAAGAAATAACACAAGCTGTTAGTGTAAAAACCAACCAACAACTGTTTTTTTTTTTAGTTCTTAACTTAAACATTTTATTACTTGATAACCCAAGACACCGAGAAGCTGGATGTTGGTATATTTTACAATTAACATACAAATGACTTCAAAATCAGTTAAATTTATAGTGTTGTTTGTAGTTAAGCACAAAGCTACACAATGGACTATCTGTGCTCTGCCCATCACAGGTATCGAAACCCAGTTTTTAGCATTGTAAGTCCACAGACATACCGCTGTGCCACTGGGGGGCTAAATTTAAAGTGAACGATTTTATGGTCAATGACAAAGGTAGATATTAATTGTTTTAAAATCTTGATGTAAAATCAACTTGCTTCATATGTTCACATCAAAATAGGTAATGGCTATCTCTACTAGTCATCTCTAATTTCGAACCGACTGACTTAGAGGGAAAGAAGGCAGCTAGTCAACCATCACCAAGTCTTCGGTTACTCTAACCAAATAGTGGGATTTGATTGTCATTCTTATGACCACAAAGTACAGAATGTACAGAAAGAAGGCAGCTAGTCAACCATCACCAAGTCTTTGGTTACTCTAACCAAATAGTGGGATTTGATTGTCATTCTTATGACCACAAAGTACAGAATGTACAGAAAGAAGGCAGCTAGTCAACCATCACCAAGTCTTCGGTTACTCTAACCAAATAGTGGGATTTGATTGTCATTCTTATGACCACAAAGTACAGAAAGAAGGCAGCTAGTCAACCATCACCAAGTCTTCGGTTACTCTAACCAAATAGTGGGATTTGATTGTCATTCTTATGACCACAAAGTACAGAATGTAATTTTGCAGTAACAAGACACGCACCACAGACCCTTGGATTAGGCACGCTATGGGTCATACCCTGACTGGCCTGCATTAATAAATAAAAAGTATCTGTCTTAAGATTAACCTGCACTTTTTTTTTTAAATATGCCAAAATATTTACTCAGTATCTTACATGGGTTTCAAGTGTTTCTGTAGCAAGATTGTTTTTAGAAAAAACAAATGTAGAATAATTAGTATCCACTTGTAGTTATAGTTGGTAACACTGCAATGATTTCTCTAGATTAACCAATAAGTATCTGTGTTTAGTCTGGTTAATTAACATTCTAAATTAACTGAAACAGCTATATTCAATTATATAAACTGATTATGAAATAATTTAAATACAACAATAAATAACTAACTATAGCAAAAATGAATAATTTTTCAACAATTCATTTTGCTTAACCAATAAATACCTGTATTTGAATTAAGTATTTCTTAAATAACTCATCTAGATTAGTTATTAAGTACCTTATTTGGTCTGGTTGATTCTGAATAATTTTATATATATAGATATCAATTCTGATACTGAAATCAACCAATCAGTAACAAGCTGTTAACAGTTAATAGTGAATCTAGGGCTTGACAGAGAAATTAATGTTGAAAAGATCGTACATAATCATGTTTTAATATAAAATATATTCTTCTTTGGGAGAGTTTAAGATGACCTAAAGAGAAAATCACTGGTCTAGTAGACTGATCATTAATTAAAATAAACCAAGCATTACGTTCTAGGGTACAAATTCAATTGGCAAAAAATATTTATATTTGTTTTTTTAAAATTGCAATTTATGGATCGTTTTTCTACACTTCCAATAGAGCAATGAAAATACAAAACAAGAAATTTGTATTTTTAAGCCTTTTATGTTGGAAATGGAAATAATTTCAAAAAAAATAAAAAAAATTCTCTTTTATATACAAATAAGCAACTTTTAAAATACAAGAAAACTTTAAAGCTAATCTGACTCCTCAACAATTTTTTTTTCATGTTTAATAATTAAAAATTAGGCCAACTGTAAGACAAAAGACTCAAAACCTACATTAAATTTTCGAGTATCCACTGATATCTTTAAAACCTGAAAACCATTACAATTTCAAACAGTAATCATTCTTTGACCTTTACCAAAATTGTTCTTTGTTTAATAACCCCCCATCGTGTTTCAGAGGTAAATCCAAACTACTGGGTGCAAGACTTTTTCAAGAGCACCCGTGTGTTTCAGAAAAAATCCTTAACTTTTTCATATACATCTAGCAATCCTCAAGTTAAGGCTTATTCTGAAACATGCTTACCAGTTTAAGTCAAGTTTTATTGAAAAAACAATGCATAATTCTTCCTAGAAATAGTTTTCAAAATTCAAAAATGTCTGGAAAGAAAGTCTGTTGGATAGTTTTGAATTTTGTGCAAAGCTACTCAAGGGCTATCTGTACTAACCATCCCTAATTTAGAAGTGATACACTAGAAAGGAAGACGGCTAGACACCACCACCAACTCCTAGGCTACTCTTTTACCAATCAACAGTTGGATTAAACATCACATTATAATGCCCCAATGGCTGAAAGAGCGAGCATGTTTGGTGATGGGGGCTTCGATCCCACGACTCACGAATTGTGAGTCGAGTCACCCTAACCACCAGGCCCTTGGAAGAAAATAAAGTCTGATAATTCACAATCACTTTTCAAGCTTCATAATAATTATTTGTCTTTTAAGTTGTGTCAATACTTTTCTTCCTAATCTGATCATGTTCTTCAATTAGAATATACAATTATTATGATTAATAATTTTTTTTCCTATTCAAAATGCTCAAATGAACTTTTATAACGAAAGCTAAATTAAAATTTATTTCCATCATCACAAAATAATGACTGTATGAATGAGTCATAAAACATATGAATAAGTGTTAAACTTAGCATTACTTTGCACATACTGGTGCAATTTGTTTTGTTTTTTGTTCATTCGTATACGAGTTTCTCACATTACAGAGGTGAAGCTAACAACTAAAAATCTTGATAAAAGAGTTAGCACAAAGGATCACATATAAACTTAAAATAAAACCCAAAACTCGACCGCTTTCAAATAGTTGACTATTCTTCTTCAGGAGAACAAATGGTTCCCCTGAAGCTAACAACTAAAAAATATTTCAAAAACTGCTTTATTATTTTAAGTGATTCCAAAGGCATCAATTGTTTGATGGTTACATTGTTAATAAGCATCAGTTTGGTTTATCGAAACAAAGTGGAATACATATAACACAAGTGTTAGCAGAAATACTTATTTCAACTATGCATTTATTTTATAAAACTAGCTTGGCATTTATTCCATTTGAAAATAACGAGTTAACCCAGTTAAATATTGTGCATTTCTTTTACCTCATATCAAATAGACCTTGAGTTATAAGGTAATTTATACAGTACTTTGATCCAATTCAATATCTATCTCATCTTTACATTTTAGTCTTGTTCTGAATATCACTATGTAGTCAAACAAAGGAGATACATGTTAAAGCCAGTTTTTTATTTTGAACCGATTTAAAAAAAAAACTTAAAAAAACAAGAAAACTTAGTTACTGATGTATTTCATGTTTGTTATGAAAAGGAAACAATACTCTTAAAAGAAAATTAACAGCACATAGATAACCTCAGTAGCCATTATTTATATTTAAATTAAATTAAGGTTGAAATTTCCAGCCATCTTTTATTCTTTTATACAAAATGTCATACAAAACCAAAAACTTGACTATCAGGTCATTCTCACATGCACTAAAGTACATCCAAAATAGCTTCGGCAATAATACAAATGGAAGAACTTTATAACAATTATTAGAGTAACAAACAAAAATCTTTTAGCAGGAATTGCACAATTCAGCAACAGAGCTTAAAGTTTAACATTTAAAAGAAAACAAAGAACCTTTATAAAGTGAAGTCATAGTTAAAATGAAGTTCACATTAGTCCTTCAAACAGTCCAAGTGAGCCCTTCACGAGCCATGAGCAGCCTATACAAGTCCTCTAGGGATTTAGGACTGGTGCACAACAAAGGGAGGGTAAACTGAACCAACTTACCACCAAAGGTATCATATATTAAAGAAATTTAAGGGAACACTTTCAGATTAAAATTTGAGTACTTTTGACCAATTACACAACTTGTTTCTTCAAGGATTCATTAGGAATAAGTCTATTCAATAGTGAAAATCTATTACCTGAAATGATTGGGTTATTGTTGTTTTTCTTAAATTGACAGAGGGCTTATAAACAACTCTAAATGTATTATTTGCATTACTATGGTTGGTTAAGGACACTTGTCACCAATGATACAACTATTACAAGTCATTCTAAAATGCTTGTTACTCATAACCAGACCTGTCAAAAGGTTAGTTTTGTCCTGAGATATATGCCATCTTCTTAGTTTAAACAAAAGGTTGATGTTATTTTGAATGACATCAACAAAACAAATTATTCAACCCGTGTTACATGTAATAGGTTTTTTTTTGTTTTGTTTTTTTCCAGTAGCATAAATTTTTTAGAATAACCCATTACACAGGCTTAAAGATGGTAGCTCTAGATATTTTCACAATTCTTTTCTAAAACTCCAGCTGAAACTTAAAGATTTCATTAATAAAGTTTTTTAATTTCTGCCTCTGCAAGTATCCTTTATTTTCAATTTTTTGGCATCACTTTCAAATGTGTCTGATACTCATATTTATACAGATAAAGTAAATTCATAAAAACTAACAATGTCTGAAGTTATAATATGACAACCACACTACACCTTCTATATCTAGTGCCAACAACGTCCCTTGCCCAATATTAGGACTTATCAAATTGGCTTGGGTACAACAGACATAATAGTAGTCTAAAACATGCCTTTTCAGCACCACAACTGTTTAAAAAGCAATACCTTTTATATCACGTGCTGTGCTACATTAAATAGTAGTTTCAATTACTATAAGTGGAGAGATTTGTTTAAATTACATTGTATTTACTTCACTTAACAAATCTATTAAAATATCTTGAGCATTTTGTTTTAAACCTGATAATTTAATAACCTTTAAACAAGGTCAGGATAATATTAATTCACAGTAATGTATTAGTAGCTTATACATCAGTTATTTTAAATCACCTAATTGTTTAAGGTTTTAAAAAACACATCATTATAAAACATATCTTCAAACACTACTTTTAAATTTAAATTAAGAGATCTTGCAACCTTTGTAATTGTTCAGTCTTCCAAAGATACTGAACTTTAGAAAGCTAAAGACGATGACATTCATATTTCATTGCAACAACTTCAAGTTATTTAAACTGAGCAACTTTTATTGCAGAGATTGTTTTTGTAATTTATTGTTAACCCTTCATAACAAATATCTATTTAAACTGTACCCAATAGGAAACCTCCTATAATTACCATAGTTAATTTTCAATCTCACCTAAATTAGATTTGATCAAAAACGTACACATACATAACTTATTTTAATCATTTACAATAAGGATACTGATAAGAAAGTGGTGAAATTTCAATAAATAGCACAAACGTGAAAGAAAAATATAACAGATGACTTTTTCTAAATGCTGAAGCATAACAAAATGAAAGAAAAAATAACCATAAAAATCTGTCTTATGGGTTTTATCTTTTTTCTTCTTGTTCTAACCGACAACTTTGAAAGAAATTAATTTTAATAAAGTGGTGGGAACTTCACTTAAATTGAGAATGTTATGCTGGTATTCATACACAACTTGTAAGAGAAATTTAAGTCTGCTAATGTATTAATATTACAGAATAAAGAATGAAATCCTGTATAAAAAAATATATAAAAACAAAAGAATCATTACGTTTTGTGTGTATTACATTATCTTGTATCTCATGTTTACTAGAAAGAAAATTAAGAAAGCACACTGAAAATTAATTCATGAATATGTAGTATTTTTAAACAATATAATTTTCAGAGAAGGAGCATTTTTTAAAAGTTTGTTTTAATGCAAAGCTACACAATAGGCTATCAGCATTACGTCCACTGGGAGGGCAACATCCTTAAAAATAAAAGTAGTTCAGTTCAAAAGGTTTTTCAAGTATTCTAGAATCGCTTGATTCATATTCAACTACAAGGATCACTAGACTCACAATAATAAACATCAACAAGTATTTATATTAGCAGCCTTTTTTTTTTTCCTTCAAAAACTGACAACAATATAGTTTCCTAAAAGTAGTTTCTCAAGTATCCATTTATTAGAGATGGTTACTTAACTAAATATATATATATATATCAAAAAAACAGTAAATAATCTCAAAACGATTATTTGATAAAAACTTCATAAATGCTCATAGTATAGGAATGTTTTCGAGTGGAATATTCATGAAAGAGGCTAGATGACCTTCAAACGAAATGAAGACCAACGATAACATACTTTTTGTTGGAGGATTACCATGGAAACAGTAGATGCAATAAAATACATATGAAAGTAAAACAGAGATTAAGTGTGTATTTCATGGTGGATTTTTTAAACAAACTGCCATTAATAAGAAAACAAGCGTATTTTCTAACGAGAATGAAAAAAAAAGATTTTTCTGAAATAATACACACCATGAGAAGTTCTGATGACCATAACATTTTACATCTATTTCCAAATGTAAATATTTTACGCTATTTATTTCAGTTCATATAAAAAATTTCAATAAATACTAGAAACAATAATTTTTTCACTTGTAATTATACAAAACTAGCCTAAAATGAATGAGAGATGTAAAGACTGATAATATTCATAACAGTGTCATGACACAATTAATACATTTGATCTAGTGTTTACCAATGTAATTCTCCTCATAACCTTGTACCAGCAAGACTTACAATTATCTTTATTTTATATAACATCCCTTTTTTTTTTCTAGGAGACAGAATTTGAGGCTTTGCTCAAACTGAATTTTCCTCCAGTTTCAGTAACATACTTGAACCCAGGCTCCACTTTCATCCTTCCTAAAAAAATGTGGTCGGTTATCTGGAAAGACTGTCACACCAGGAAAGGGATTCTGTTGAATGAATTTCAGTGTTGCTCTCACCTGCAGAACAAAATGTGGTGGCTGAACTTCAGGAGATGTTGAGAGGTGCTGAAACGATACGATTTGTATCTCGTGAAGGATTAAACTTTCAAAATGTATTAAGATAAAACTCTGAAGCTCATATTAGTCTGAAATATTAAAATATATTAAGATAAAACTCTGAAGCTCATATTAGTCTGAAATATTAAATATAGTAAGATAAAACTCTGAAGCTCAAATTAATCTGAAATATTAAATGTATTAAGATAAAATTTGAAGCTCAGATTAAACTGAAATATTAAATTTATTAAGATAAAACTCTACAGCTCAGATTAATCTGAAATATTAAAATTTTTGCAAAAATATATTTTAAAACTATAAAAAAAACAGCAAATAAAATAATTTTAGGTTCTTACTCGAGAAGCAAGACATAATTATACAGATACATATATTAATAGTGCCAGTAGTTCTTTGATTGTTTTTGATCTGACATAAAAGGGACATTACACCCATCTGTTGTTATTTTCACGTAATATTCTTAGAAACTCAATTAGCATGATAATAATTGCCTACTTTTTTTAAAACCTTTAACAAAATTTCTGAATGTAAATGAGTACTAACCCTATGTATACAGGCTTGGTCCATTGGCCCTAGCCCATACTGGAGAATTAATGGTTACTATAATTCAGAAGTTTTTATGTATCTTCATGAAATTTGGCAATTCTTTCAGTAAACGACGAAAATATGTTGCACACAAAAAATCAGATTTTTTAATAAAATATTTCTACTAAAGATCAGTCTGCATGAAAGGTGAATTTTAATTTTAAAGTTTTATAACCTCTGGAACCTTATAAATAAATAAATACCAAAATTTTTTTTTTCAGTAACATCGTATGCTTTATTTGTAGATTTCTCTGCACCAGTGACACAACATTTAAATATAATGTAAAGAATGGTTGAAAAACATGAAATAAATTGAGTAACACAGTAAATTCGTTTTCACTAGTGATCAAGAAAGTTACAAGTTACTTATATTCACAGTTTAAACCTTTACTCTTTTATTAAACATGATTTCTGTTTTGTTTTTATCTTGCAATATGGAGAAGTAAGTCTCCCACACACAACGCACAATAAAATAATAGATCATGGCACGAGTCATTACTCTGTTTCTAGCAAACCATAACACGTAAAGATCTAGGTTGTATCTAAGTAAAGCAATAATGTAGGACGGAAATTTACATTAGGGTTAGTAATATCTATGGTACAAGTAATTTATGTCAAACTTGTTAGATCAAGGGGAGTTAAGGGAAAAATGTAAAATGGGAAATTTGTGCACATACGCATCATGTAATACAGGACAGGTGAAGATTAAGATATTAAATATTTCCTTTTGAAATTAAAGCATATAATATTAAACTATGAATCATAAACTATATTCTTAAAAAAATGTTGCAAAACCAATGGTCATGAGATGTATACTTTGCAGCTGAACAGAAGGATAATACATATTCAGTAGACAAATTTATAATTATGTAGTAAAACTTACCTAAGAAGTACAACACTGTAACTTAGTGTTACGTCTCCATTTGTTAATTGATTTTTCCGTAACTTCGTTCCGAGGAAATTTTAACGACACAAGTCTTTACTTAATAAAACTGGTTTATTCTTTCCGAATATAACTCTGCGATACACTTAATCTCAATACTCGCGCTAAAACAAACAGTAGCGCGAGCGAACGAACGTTAACTTCAACGATACCCTGTGACTGCAGTTCAATTACTCACTATCTACCCACACATTACATTACCTTCTTTTATATACCAGCGTACCCTATTTCTAGTAAGAACTTGAACATTCGTCAAAGTACATGATAATTCTAGAAACGTTGCGTCACTGTAGTCATGTGACTGCTGACGCAACATTAGCATACCTGTATATTTTGTCAAATACAATGACATTTCAATTACCTACATATCCGTATTGTTACTATTTACTCATAAATGTTTAAATTTCAATTATAACTTTGATTTCTAGTACTTATGATGTTACAAAAGCTACTCTCACTCAGGAAGATGTGGTCACTAACCCTTGGTCACTCTATCAAACTAAGGTAACACAAATTGGTTTTTGGAAATTTTAAATAAGCAATTTATAAAACACAAAAAAATCATCACTCACTAGAATAGGGCTTTGTAAAACCACTATAATTCATCTGGTTTTCTGACTTAGGTATAAACAGATATAAAAGATTAATATATTTTCAGAGCAACAATTTTAGCAAAAAAACTTCAATATTTCATAGCAAATTTGGCATTTCCTTATCAAAAAATTGACAAACAACTATTCAATTTACTTGAAAAGTTTTTTTGGTGTACAAAACTGGAAGATATGTAGATCTACATATCTACATGTGCTGATGTTTCCGTTTATCAACGTTATATTTTAAGATCTGTGCAAGAACTCAGCTAACAGATGTTTCCGCATATAAAAGCTATATCAAATTTACATAGTTCAGAATCTGCTCTTCTTTTTAGTTATAGATATGTACGTGAGAGGTAGACATGAATAAGTTATTTCAAAAGGACGATGGGATGGAAGGAGCTTCACTGATAGGTGTACTAAATGTACTAGCACATCAATAAGGTGGGAGGTTACTATTTTATACTTTAGCTTGTAAATATGTGAAGCTTGTGTTTTTAATTGATTAGGCACTGTTGACATTGTATGGTAGAAGTAATACAATGTAAGTTGAACAACCTATAGCTCGAACATGACACGTGACATACACGAGTGAGTACCGAGCATTTTTTTTTATATTTCCTTTAAAACTAAGAAATTAAATCTTATATAATATTAAAATTTGATAAATTAACTTTGTTTTTATGCCAAGTTTATTGTTACAGATTGATAATTAAATTTTTAATGTAACTCTGTAAAAAGTTATAACATGTGCATTTTTATCCCACCTGTTCAATTCCTAGTACCTTGTTTATTATCTTCTGCTTACAAGGTGTAGATGTGTAATAGTTTAATTGTAGACTTAATAAAACCTTAGTTAATATCTGTTTTCTAATGGTAATATTAGTTATTTACTCAAAACATTTAAAATGATTAACTAACCTAACCGAAGCTATATACAAAAAATTATGCAACAAAATAAAACACTGATACTTTTAACCCTCTGTGTTTGGTTGGGTCAAAGAGTGCATTGTCAAGACATTATACACAATTAGATTCAGATAACTTTATTATCAATGTATGTCAATAAATATGGCATCAAAACACAGTTTATCATTCAAAGTTTTACATTATCGAAGTTTTAATTTATTAATTTCAAAAAAAATATTCAAATAACTTCTCAATCTTGAACTCTGTTTCACAAGATGCATCTAGTGCTCTGATTTTCCCTCTTTAGTTTTTCTTTCTACTATTTTATGCATGTTATTATCTCACAAATTAAATATACATACTACAGATATTGAAAACTTAGATTACAAAAACTGAGTATCCATTCATTTGACTTTACTGAGACACTAGTTTTGTCACATCCCTTCTATTTCTCTCAGTCTCTCAAGTCACGACACGTCTACAAATATCTCTTACATTGCTACTGGAAATGCTTATAACCAAAAGTAAGAACAAAATTCAATGTACCACCCATGTATATTTGTAAAAAAAGATGGAAATTACCAAGAAAATATTGCTACATGTTGAATGAAGTCAATGTTCCAAGAAGCTAATGGAATGTAAAGTATTTATAGCTTACACAGAAAGCCTGTTAAATTATAGTAGTTTTAGATAATTCTATTTTAGTGCCCGATTTATTTTTTGTGTCTAAAATGTGTAATAATAATAATAATAATAAAAAAAAAGTAGTCATACTGAAGTATGTTCCACAGTTTAAATAAGCCTATTTAAAGGTAAGCCTAAATAAATAAGCCTATTTGCAAAGGTAAGTCATATATTTCTTGTTTGTTAATGTGAATTTTGTATGTATTGTTATATATTTTTTAACAAGTTACTGAAATGTAAAAATCAGAATTTTATTAGGTTAGATAAAATGTAAATGAAAAAAACAAATTAAATGAAACTCCATAAAACCAGCTTGAGTACATCTTAAGTTAACCTAGTCACAAGGTCGTAACTCAACCAACTGTTTAAACTAAATTATCCCACTGTGGTTAATAGACTGTCATGTTGTTAGATAGGGTCTAAAGGGTATCGTAGAATAATAACATTAAAAACAAGTAGCTGTGATGGTTAAAAAGCCGAGCAGCATTAGAATAAATAAATGTAATTGTCTATTACAATCTGCAGTCATTCCAGGAAAAAATCTTAACATTTTTTTCAATATATTGTTTCACTGTGTTTGCTATAGTTAGTGTTTATTAAAAAATTTAAAAAAAAGTTTTACTAGAAAAAAAAAACTTTTGTTATTCAATTAGGAGGTTCTGGAAGTTAAGCAAATTAAATAGGAAAACTGTAAGTTGAAAAGAAATATTTTGATTCTTAGCATGAAAATCACCTTTCGTTCAGACAGACTCAGTAAAGGTTTCATGAATTCACTTATAAAATGATCTCAATAATAATTTTTAATAAAAGCTTACCAAATTTTGTGAAGATACACTTTGTAAATTCATAATTATAATAAACAAAAATTGGACATGGTGCAAAACACGAACTCTATTCACATAGGTTAAATAAAAAGCAGGCATGCTTCTAGCCAAAGAAATCCATTTAACAGAAAAATAAGATATTAATTTTTTGAGTATACACTCAATGTTTTTATTTGTATGCCAATATACCTGAAGAATAAACTCATCACTTTGAGACAACCACAGATCAACACCCCTCATTGGTTCATAGTTGAACGGTCCAATTCTCAGAAGACCCAAATTGTAGTCATAGACATCAAGCATCTAGAAATAAAAAAATATTATAAAATGTTAATTAGTTATTAAAAGAACACGGAAAGAAGTTCAAAAATGGATTATTAAAAATCTTTTATGTACTGAACCCAGTGCAAAGTTTAAATCACCTGACTGTTGTAATACATTGGAAGAGTTTCAGATTCTTTTGTTTCCAAACATATGAACTGACAACTAAGAACAATTCAAAATTTTCATACCTCACTACAGTATGAAACAGCCTTTGAAGCAACTACTATGATAACTAAAATTAAGGGTTTAACTTGTGCCTATTTGACTTAAAGACTTTGCATCTATTCATAGTGAACAATTAACCATAAAATATATATAGAATTCTTCTTTATTACATTCTCTGGGGAATTTAGGCTTCCTGAATTTTATGTCCCTTTATCTTTCAGTATTTAATCAAACCTCAAATTATTAACTATCTTTTAGACGAGTCACTATTGATGAAGTTTACATGTTACATCACATTATATAATTTTATGTTTTTGTCTGTACAATGCTCATTATAAAGAACTGATCACAACAACTGGATGAATGAACTCATTTTCTATGTAACATACATAGTGTGCCCCAGCAGTAATCAGTGGGGTTAAATGTGTGACTCACATGTTATTTGGATCCCTGTAACAACAAGTTAATAGACCTAAAAACATAAATAGTTTATAAATTGGTTTGGTTTGTTATGAATTTTATGCAAAGCTACACTAGAGGGAAGGCAGCCAGTCAACACCACCCATTGCCAATTCTTGGACAACTCTTTTACCAATGAATAGTGGGATTGACTATCACTTCACAATGCCCCTATGGCTGGAAGTGCGAGCATGTTAGGTGTAATGGGGATTCAAACCTGCAACCCACAGACTGGGAATTGAGTGTCCTAATTACTAGGCCATACCAGGCCTCTCTCTTTTCAGGGCTGGGATGATGTGTTGAGGGACTGTCAACTTTTGGGTTTTAGTCTTCTCAGATATCCCATTTTCACACTACTCTGTAGGAATTTTGGGCTGTTTAACATGAATGTTTGGATTTCCTGCACCAGACAGTGGTGGTATATATCAACAGGCAGGGTGGAACTCAATCTTACAGCCTTTGTTAGCTGCAACCTTTACTTCTTTGGTTACATTTACACAATGTCTTTCTCTGACCTGGTATTTCATTGGTGGTGCTAACAGCTTTGTCATCCTATGCTTGATGCATTCGTGATGGCAGTGCATATCGTCTGATGTTTTATTGGTTTACACTTCAAGGTCCAGCTTCTCCAGCAGCGAATACTTTGAGCCCATCTTGGGAGAATTTGTTTGTATGTCTACACTCTTCTTCTTCATATTTCTCTGTTATTAGCCCAGTTTGTCCTATTTTCCATTTCTTCTTATTGCCCTATGCTGGCCTTTTCCATTATGGTTTTTACTACTCTCATCTGTCTTATAGGGATCCCCCTTACATTAATTTTTTGGTATACCTTCCACAGATTCACAGTTGGCTGTTATGCAGTCCTTTTTTTAATGAAGCTGTATTATTTTCTCAAGTATATCAAATGCTGACACATTCTTGCAGGAATTCCTCCCTGGCAGTATACCAATCTCAGAATTCAATTTCTAATCCATCTTCAACTCTTTCATGATTGGGGCTTGTCTGCTTTTATTGTATGTTACAGAACTTCCCTTGCAGTCACTTTCAATTGCCACAGAAGTCATGTGCCTCTTTGGGCCCCACTTTTTAAAATTTTTTTTAAAGCTTTTTTGATTATGTCTTCCACACCTGTACGTCATCCTCAGTGAGATTTATGCTCAGTTTTAAGTTGCTAGGCTTCTCTGTTTGAACCCTTCCCAACTTGTTCACTGTACCATCTTTTACCAGAGACATATTTTCTTTCATTACTTGCTTCTGGAAGGAGACTATCAAACATTTTTGCTTTTTTTTTGTTTGTTTTTGGAGGGCTTTGTACTTGTATCATGACAGATCCTTAATACCAGAGATGGTCATTGCTGTTTTTTCTCCTATTATGTTACCTACTCCTATGACCCTGATTCTTCTTCTGAAGAACATTTTCTTTATCTAATCAGAGCTGTTTGTTCCTATGTTGCAAAAATCGAATCTTTCCAAGGGTATCATCATTGACTGTTTATACCTTATGATCATTCTCACTCCATAGGCCTTGCTCCATCCACATAAACATTTGGGTTTGTGCAGATGATCTATCTTGTTTATTATGATGTTTCTGACCACCGTACGTGTGGATTTCAGGTTGCATCTTATCACATTTCCTATTTGAATATATCTTTGGCCTCCTGGACTTTGTATCCTCTAGCAGACATTTTACAGGCCAGCATAAAAATGGCTCTAAATACTTTTTTGCTATTTTACCTTAATCGCAGTGTTGCAGTATATTCAGTTCCAAGATTCCATTTGCCACTGTGGTTCTTCAGGCTTGTTGGAATCTGTTTCTTGTGAGTTCTTGTATATTCTGCCCAACACCCACTGTCAGCTGTTTCCAGGGTGGCTTCAGATTGTTAATGATTTTTGACTTCAAAACAAAAGATACAAAACAAGAAAGTTAACATATATAAATACAATTTTCTTTTTTGTATCCAGAATCTGCATTTATATCAATTTGTCCAGTCAGGACTCGTACATGTTCTTTACCTTCTCCTTTTTTTTTATATTGCCCAACAACCCACTTCAGTTCTAGGGCTGTCTGAGGTTGAGAAGTTATTTGATGATATACAGAAAAAAATCATTGTCTCACCTTACGTGTATGGATCAGTCACATATGCCTCATGTCACATATGCCTTTGCATTTGTCTTTGACCAAGTTCCATCCTCTATGCTTGAAGTTATGTGAGAGGGAGTTGGCCTTTGTAAGTGAACAGAGGGTGCCATTTTATAGCTGATGATGCCTTGGTGGGTACTTTTATCCTCTCTGCATGCACATCCTTGTATGATGTTAGACAGAGATACTGGAAATGGTACCATTATGTCTCGATATCTCGGCTCCAACCAGAATGGAGATTATCTGTGTTTTTATTCTTATTTCTTTAAGTTTTGATGTTTCCATTGCATTGTTCTCACGTTGCTAAATCCATCCTTGGATACTGCTTGGGTCTCTCTTTAGTTCGCTGAGCATCTATCAATTAGGGGAGTTGTGTGACTCCCAGTATGGACAAAGAGATGCTGCTGCCTTTGGAATACATCCTTTCATAATGCGTGTCTAGGCTGCTCCATCGAGAATCTTACACTGCAGGTGCAAGACATAGTATTCCTCCTACTTGTTTATTTCACCAGAAGCAGTCTGTTATTGGTTCCACATGTTCAGTACACCATTACTGCTTTCAAAACTGATTATTTGCCTAAATTAAAGGCCATCATAGGTGAAGACATACCCTTCTCAATGGGTCTTCCTATGGTCAGGGGGTCAAAGAGCATGCTATCACATTTGTAAACTTACATTCAAGATTTTATTGAACTACAGTTTTATGAACGTATGTCAATAAGTTTGGTATCAAATTGTAGATTATAATTCAAATTTTAGTATTCTACATTAGTTATTTTCTTAACTTAAAAGTAAATATTTAAAACAAATCCTAAATATCAATTTATATGTGGTCACGTGGTATCTTGAATGCAGTTTTGGTTCAGATTATATGTTTGTGATGTACAAATACAAAGTCCATAGTTTCTTACGAATTAGAAACTCAAATTACCAATATTGACAAGTTAGAATATAAGATAAGAACCTTCTATCTTTTTTATTTTCTGATATATTATCATATTTAGTGAATCAACCAAGGTGGCACCACCCACCTCTTCCATTTTTCGAAATAAGTGCTTACATACACCTACTTTGCCCAATGATGTGTGTTCAACCGTTTGAAAGCTCAAATTGTCTTCCATGTGGTTTTCTCAGCCTCTGCAAAGTGTTGATGTGGTGAACCCTTTCTTTTCATGTTAGAATCAAAGACATTATAGAGCTAAAAAAAAACCCTATTTTTTTTAGACCCAAATATAGCTCAGTTACTAAGCCTGAAAAATTATAGTGGAATTCTATGGTTTTGATATAGTAATTTATTATTTTTTGTTATTTCAAAATGCATGTATAAAACCTAAAAAATTATTTTGTTTTACATCCTCCATGTGGTAAATTTGGCAAGCAGCAAACGAGTACGAAGTTCGTAAGTAGAAAAAATCATTGTTTTCCGTATATCTTTATTTACTGTTGCATGTTTAAAGAAAAAATAATTGAAATATGAGGAATTATTTGTGAATAGTAATAATGTATGCACATATGTAATGTGTTATCACCAAAATATGACTGTATTTTACAAAATACTGGTCCACTAGAACAAAGCCAAGACATGTCACTTTGTAAAGGCCAGTTTTATACTATTGAATATGGTAACATGAGTGCACATGTGCCACTATATTGCAATTTCTGTAATGTTAGTCAGACATGGCAGAAAGGTCAATAAAATAAAAACAATATATATAGATGTATAATGTTATGAGATTTAAACTATTTATACTTAAACATCTGTGGTTTGGTGTTGTAATTTGTAGTCATTCTACAATGAAAAAAACTTAATTTATATCCATTTCATAATTTTTTATGGTGGTTACAAGGTTGGTCAAATTGACCAAACCCATACAGATATACATTAGTGAAAATAATAGATAAAATATAAATTTTTTCTGAAAAAAAAAACGTTTCATAATTAGCTGGTTGGTATATAGATTTCACATGCGAAATTTGAAAATTTTCTGATGCATAAAAGTATTTTTAATCTTAAAATCAAAATTACTTTGCATGTTGGATAGTCAAAATTAGAAAAGAAAAAATGCACAAGGAAATCATTACCTAAAAAAAATCTTAAAACTTAACATAAAATCCAATATTCTATGTACGAAAACCCTGTAATATTTACTGATAATCTGCAAAATTTTGTGAAGATACGCATACTGTATTAAAAGTTATAGTATTAAAACTTTCA